ACTCCCCAAAGAGAATCAGAATCCCAAATGAATTATTTCAATAAGCCCCCTTTATTAATGAAAGGAGGATTTACCCACTGATTGCTCGCCCGGACAACAATTATTTACACTGGGCATCATAATAAATAAACGTGAATATTAAAAGTGATTATTAAGTATAAGCAGTAGGATTTAAGTGTTTGTAAGTGAGAACAGGCAGAGCAAAGTAGATTATAAGTTAAAAATAACAAAAAATGCTTAGCTAATTGTGAAACTAAAACATCAGTACAAACTTATTAAACTCACCCTAAAATTGTTCTTATTCCAGCTAAGCCTCCAAACCAGAGAAGTCTCCATTTTCCTGGAGGATATAACAACGAGAATTCCTGTGGCACCTTAGGCTGCATCTAGACTGCACGCCTTTTTCGACAGAGGCTTTTTCGACAGTATCTTTCGAAAAAGCCTCTGTTGAAAAAGAGTCTAGATTAAATTATGCAGATCGAAAAAATTGATCCGCTTTTTTGAAAAAGAGCATCCAGACTGCTAGACGCTCTGTCAAAAAAATAAGGCACCTGGAAGTGCTTCTGGCAGGGTATGGGGGCAGACTTTATTTCCAGGTGCTGCTGCACGCCATTTACAGAGACACGTGCTTAAAGGGATCCCCCTGGACAGCTGTAGCTCTGCTCCTGCTTCTGGCTTGCCTACCTCCTAGGGGGAAAGCAATGCTGCTACAGTTCTTGCTCTGGTTGCCCTGCTTCCTCGGACACCACAGCAGTTTATTTGCAGGGTTTTTTCCTGCTTTTCACGGTGTTATTGGCCTGAGCTGCCCCATGGCAGGCGATGGCCCCACACTGCCATACTGCAGCTTCTGCTGCATTTGCATGACTCTGTCATGAATCTCCTGTCCCATATGAACCTGGACCACACCGAAGAGACCCTCCTCTGGAATGCAGGAGTTCTGTCCTTGCCTCCAAACTTTTCTGGGGACAGGCAGATTTGGAGGCACGAGACGAGTTCAGACTAGTGGGACAAGCTTGTCATGCAGCTCTGGGATGACAAACACTGGCTCCGCAACTTCTGGATGCAAAAGGACACATTCGTGAGCTATGTACCTGGCTCACCCCTGCTCTGGAACACCAGGACACCCACCTGTGGCCCACCATCCCCCTGCAGAAGTGGGTCACAATCATCCTTTGGAAGCTGGCCACCCCTGACAGCTACCACTCCGTAGAACACCAGTTTGGTGTGGGGAGGTCTACCATTGGGTCCGTCTTGAGGGAGGTAAGTCACTTTCGGGGGACAGGCCCTGCTGAATGAGGGGGTGAGAAAGAGGGACTGTCAGGCAAGGGCAAGAGGGAGTGGGGGGTGGAGTGGCACTTGAAGGCCACTCCTCAGCCACCCCTGCACTGACAAGGGACGGGGCAGTTTGGGGAGGGGGGAGGGTTCTCCTCCCAAGCTCTTAGGTAACCTGACTCCTTGGTTTCTATTTGTCTTGTGCTGCAGGTGGTGAGGACCATCAATGCGGAGCTGCTGAAGTGGCTCATCTGTCTCGGGGACCTGGACATCATTGCCAGGTTTGCCACCCTTGGCTTCCTGAACTGCAGAAGAGCCCTCGATGGGACACACATCGCAATCTGCACACTGCCCCATCGAGCAGCCCAGTTTATAAACAGGAATGGCTACTATCCCGTGGTGCTGCCGGCCCTCGTCGACCACCGGAGACACTTTATAGACATTTGTGTCGGGTGGTCAGGACAGGCATATGATAACCACATATTTCGTAACTCCTACCTGTACCACAGGTTACAGGCAGGAACATTTTTTCCCCAGCAGCACCTTGCGCTTGGGGACATGCAGATGCCAGTGTGCATAGTGGCTGACGTGGCCTACCTCCGATGCCATGGCTCATGAAGTCCTACTCCAGCCACCTGGATGCGAACAAGGAGCTTTTCAACACACATCTTAGCCAGGCTCTCATCCAGGTGGAATGTGCCTTCGGCTGTCTGAAAGGGAGGTTCCGTTGCCTCCTCACACACCTGGGCTGTGTCTAGACTACATGGCTCTATCGACGGAGCCATGTAGATGAGGGTTGTAGGCAAAGGGAAATGAAGTGGCGATTTAAATAATCACCGCTTCATTTAAATTTACATGGCTGCTGCGCGGAGCCGACAAACAGCTGATCAGCTGTTTGTCCACTCAGCGTGCTAGTCTGGACACGCCCTGCCGACATCAAAACCCCTTGTTGGCAGCCCCGTTATTCCTCGGGGGATGAGATTTACCAGGGCTGCCGACAAAGGGCTTTGATGTCGGTAGGGGAGCATCCAGACTAGCACGCTGAGCTGACAAACAGCTGATCAGCTGTTTGTCAGCTTAGTGCGGCAGCCATGTAAATTTAAATGAAGCCGCGATTATTTTATTCGCAGCTTCATTTCCCTTTTTCGAATACACAGATCTACATGCCTCCATCGAGGGAGGCATGTAGTTTAGACGTACCCCTGGAGATGGGCGAACACAACATCCCGGAGGTGGTGGCCGCATGTTGTGCCCTCCATAACTTGGTGGAGAGGAAAGGGGAGGCCTTCCTGCCGGGGTGGGGGACAGGTGCTGATGATGAGGATCGCAGCTTCATTTCCCTTTTTCGAATACACAGATCTACATGCCTCCATCGAGGGAGGCATGTAGTTTAGACGTACCCCTGGAGATGGGCGAACACAACATCCCGGAGGTGGTGGCCGCATGTTGTGCCCTCCATAACTTGGTGGAGAGGAAAGGGGAGGCCTTCCTGCCGGGGTGGGGGACAGGTGCTGATGATGAGGAGAGACAATTTCAGCAATCCCGAATGGCTGCCATCTGCCAGGCTCACTAGGCTGGTGTCCAAATCCAAGAGCACAGTAGTCTTTTCCGCAAGAAATCCGATTGTCATTTTTGCAATCGGGGCTTTTTTGCGGAAAAGCGCGTCTACATTGGCCCGGACGCTTTTCCGGAAAAAGTGCTTTTCCAGAAAAGCATCCTGCCAATGTAGACACGCTTTTCCGGAAATACTTATAATGGAAAAACTGTTCCGTTTTAAGCATTTCCGGAAAAAGGGTGTCAGTGTAGACGTAGCCTTCGGGTATGTCTACACAGCAGGGCAAAACTCGAATTAAGCCATGCAACTTCAGCTACGTCAATTGTATAGCTTAAGTCGAAATAGCTTAATTCACTTTTGGTGCTGTCTACACAGCAGGAAGTCAATGGAAGAACACTCTTCCTTCAATTTCCCTTATTCCTCATGAAATGAGGGTTATAGGAGTGGCAGTAAGAAATTCTCCAGCTCGCCATTATTTTGAAATAATGGCTTGCAGTGTAGACAAGCTCTTTGTTATTTTGGAATAATGTCAGTTATTCCGAAATAATGCTGCTGTGTAGACATGCCCTAAGATTGATAGGTTACATGAGGCAATTTGTCCCAAGCATCTTTGAGTTACGTATATTTGTGTCCATAAGTCCATTTAATATAGCATGGGGATGGGTCTGTCACAACAAGTGTTTAAAGAGATGAAGAAAAAATACACTTGATGAAATGCCCATTCAAAAAAAATTTACCAAAATTAACTTCATAAAAATAACACTGTATTTTTGAAAAATATAATCATTTTCCTTTTATTTTCCAAAAAACAAAATTGAGTTAAAGAGCCAAACAATGTAAATCTGCTAGTTCTGAATATTTGTGCATAAATATAATCTACCAGGAAACTCGACCAATATCTGAGACATTTACTGCCAAGGAAATTATGATAATATCATTAGCAAGATTCAACTGATGGCTTAAATCAGACAACAAAAAGAATGAACAATGCCTAAATAGCATAAAGTAACAAATGCTGCCATGTTTAATGACAAAGTTCCTAGCTCAAGAAGTCTTTTTGTTGTAACTAATTGCTTTAGCACGTGGAAGGCTCTTAAAGCAGGATTCATCCACTTATTTTGGAGTGTCCACAAATTGCATAACACATTGTTTTAGTGATCTTGAAGACACACCCATCCCTCCTCGTAACACTGAAACAAATACGGTCTTGTAAATTTAGGCCCCACCCATCCAACCTCTATTCTGCTATGTAATTTATAGGCAGTCCCTGTAAAGGAAAATTTGCAAGTAGAGGCGGCTGACAATGTTACTCAAATATCTACCATCAAAAAGAAATCATTTATCATAAGAAAAGTCAGAGCCAGATTCTCTGTATCAGCTAAGCTGTGCACAGAGTAAACAAGAATAGTAAAGTGGCTTTAATGTATTTTTGTAGTCTCCCACTGTTGGCACGTCTAAGCATTAGCCAGACTCCAGTGCATGTGACACCAACAGCTCCCAGCAGCTAATAAAGAAGCCTAGGATCAACCTGAAGCTGTGGACTACCTAACCAGGAATACAACAGAAGCAGCGAGGTGGTGACACAGGAGCTGCTTACTATGACTCTGTACCACCCTCACAGGCAAAATTCTCATTGGCTGACACACTGCCTTGAAGGCTGCTTTGTACCAAAGGAATGCCACAAAGCAGTCCTGCATTCTGGACACAAAAGCCTAAATCAATAAAACCACTAGAACAGCTTGAAAATGAAAATACTCAGAGGGATAGCTGTGTAAGTCTGTAACTTTAAAAATGATGATTACTTGTTCTTTTTAATGGAGACAGCTCTATGTGCAATTACAAAGAGTAAGTGTGTGACAGTGTATAACTACAGCAAGAAGGGAAACAAAAATTTAGAACAGAAAAAGAAGGGAGGAAAAAAAAGCACCTGTCAATTGTTGTGCCGGTGGTAATGAGGCTAATTAAGTGGGCTGGAATGTCTCATACTTAGCTTGGGAGGTAAATGAGGTGTTATGTGTATGGAAGACTGCTATTATAATGGAACATCTAGTTAAGGTCTTTGTTCAAGCCCAGGGAAACCATGTCAAATTTGTATATGAAGGTCAATTCCACACTCTCTCACTGTAATTGTCTTGTGAAATTCCTTTGTAGAAGAATGGCTACTTTTAAATCCATGATTGTGTGCCCAGGCAAATTAAAATGTTCCCCTACAGATTTATGTGTGTTACCATTTCTGATATCTGATTTGTGTCCATTTATCCTTTGTTGTACAGAATGTCCAGTCTGGCTAATGTATATGGCAGAAGGGACTTGCTAGCACTTGATGGCATATATCACGTTAGAGGCTGTGCAGTTGAATGAGCTCCTGATGTTGTGGATTATGTGGTTAGGTTCTGTGTTGGTGTCACTTTAATAGATCTGCGGCCAGTGTTGGCAACATGGTTTATTGCAGGGGTAGGTTCCTGGGTGAATGTGTCTGAGGTGTGATGTGTGGCTGCTGGAAGGAAATACTGTAAGTATGAAAGACTGCTTTTGTGATGTGCTTGTGAGGTGAGAATGTGCTTTTGCGCAAGAAGTTTTTGTGGAAGATCTCTTCTGCAAAAAGCTTCCTGCACAAAAACTCTGCAGTGTAGACAAAGCCAAGATGTATTTATTCTTACAGTAAATGAGCCACAATATTCAAATTTAATTGACAAGTATCTATCTGATATGGCATAAGATTTCTTAAATCAGAGGGCAGGTAACTTTTTAGTAAGACAATGTTTACGCTATAAAAATGATCCAGACCTTAAAGTTTGTTTCACCATTTAAAGCAATGGAGTCTCCTTTCACGACCCCCTTAAATATACAGTAGTGAAACAAGACGTTTCCATTTTGCATTACAGAACCAAAACAAATGACGTTAATAACTGACTTTTATTAAGTTAAATGCAAAGAACATGGAGAGTTTAAGTTAGCATTATATAAATTTTAAATAATCAGCTACTTCTGTTTTTATAGAGACTATTTAAGGCAATGTGTATATCAAATATAGATATCCTTTAAATTTGATTATACCACTACGCAAATACTATTCATTTGCATTTAAGTTTAAAACTCAACTTCTGATTTAATGTGCATGTTCACAATATTGGGCCCTGATCCTCCAAAAACTTTCACAGTTGCTTAACTTTTTACACAATGCAGAATAGAAGATTCTGCTGAAGAACATCTTGCTTATTAACTGTTGTCAAGGACAACCGTGCACACAGTGAATACTAAGTGAAATTCAACATAAGACCCTTATTTCACTTGCCAGGATTGTGGTTCCATTGAGGCCTCTGACAACATCTCTATTAACCACTTGAGGGCCCAATCACAGAAGCAGTTTTATTGTCCCATGAAAAGTAGCAAACATCAACTTCTACCATTCCACATTCAGCCACAGAGGTCCTGAACTCTTTGCTGGCTCACATGATTGCTTCTTGTTTCTGTAAGGCAGAAATGATCCTCTTCAGCATACACTTCAAACTACATCACAAGTCACCCACAGTTACTGCAAACAACTTGATTTTTTTTAAAGGAGACTATTACAATCTTAATATCAAAGATAGTGAATTAATACCTACATGCAATTTTTGTAGCAATACATTTATTCTCTTGGCAAAGTCCCATGTAAGATTTCCATACTCACCTGGAAAATAAGCGTTGGCATTTTGTTCATTGCTGAGTTTCCAAGCTTTGAGGTTTATATACAGGAACATTTTTCTCACAAAGTGATGGGAGCCCCTTGATTATATCAGCAGCTTTTTCTGCTATCATGATAGTTGGAGCATTCAAATTCCCACTGACCACACTGGGCATTATTGAGGCATCTACAACTCTCAAATTTTCAACTCCAATTACTTTGGTCTGAGGATCAACCACAGCAGTGGTATCAGATGGCTGCCCCATTTTACAGGTACAAGAAGGATGATAAGCACTATCAGCCTTTTGTCTTATGAAAGCATCTATTTCTTTTTCAGACTGTACATGACTTCCTGGCTGAATTTCAGGACCACAGAATTTTTCAAAAGCTTTCTGAGCAAAAATCTCTCTGGATATTTTGACACATTGACGGAATTCCCACACATCTCTTTCTGTACAGAGAGGAAACAAAGACTGTAAATACACATACCGGCTAGAAATACTTTCTTGTGCATAATTCAAACAAACAGAATCATAATAGTGCTAGTTCAGGAGAGTGTGCTATACGAAGAAAAGGAAAGAGTAGTAAAATTAAAGGGGAAAGAAGTGTATATTTAATTTAAAAGATCTGAAATTGCTACCGAAAGAGAAAACAATGGAACATTTTTCAAAGTTATATTTATACTAGGAAAAATTATCACTTGTCCTATGCACCTGTACAGAAGAATGGCATAAATAAAAATGATACCTTCCTTATTCCTGGGTATGGGCTATGTGATCATCATATAAGTGGGGGGAGGCAAGCAAGGTGTATAGTAGCCTTTACTCCCTGTCCAGCACAGGTGAGTACGGGGTGAATTGGAAGGGGCAGGGAACAGACACTTGACCATCCCACTTAGATTGTAAGTTCTTTGCAGAAGGGACTTTTTGCTCAGTATTTGTACCTACCAAAATAGCATCCTGTCATTAACTAGGGCTCCTCTGAACTATCACAACATAAATAGAAAAAAATAATACTAGTACAATTAAGCCAGTGTGAATTGGGGGGTAATTTGCTACTGAGATGGGCAGGTAGCAAATCACTTCTCTATGGATCAAGGGGGAAGGAACTGAATGAAACCAGCTCAATAAAGATATAATCTTACCAGTTGACAAGTAATTTGGTTCAATGACCACATGATCCCTTGGATCTGTACTTTTCAGCTTTAACCAGCCCACACTTGTGCTCCTCATAGATCCAACATGAACCTGCAATGGCCCCAACACACTACATGACAAAATTCCATCTAGATACAGTCCATTGAAATTTTTTAAAAGATGGACTTTTATAAATTATCCACATACAAAATATAAAAAATGGATACTGAAAAGGAGAGACAGAAAATGAACATTTTTTTCTTGTGTTTTTTGGTTATATACACTGCACAGGAAAAAAACTACTTAGCACAACAAGCAAATATTATTTCAGTTTAGCAGTAGCTGATAGATGATCAAATTACTATTATCATGAAGTAAAAACCAGCCAAATAAAACAGATGTACACAATGACAGTTTCACAGTATGAACTAGACTTTTGAATTAATATGTAATGGAGATCCAACAAAGAGATAAACCGTAAAGGAGTTATAATATTTTGTTTTCCTTTTAATGCAGAACTTGATCATATACTACTGATGACAGTGACATAGGATCAGGCCCATAACCCCTAAAAGCACATATTACATATTTTTCCAAAAAATATAAATTATTCTGGCACCAGAAACAAATACACTCTAAATATTTTTGCAATGTAGAGAGTTAAGTTTGTTCAGTATTATGCAAAAGATCTCTGTAACAATTAGTGTACTTGTATTAATATTTCCAATAAATTATAAATTTCCTTGTTAATTCAAGACATTGCTAATTTGTGTCCTTGAATCACTGACCTGGTAAGCTTCCAGTTTGGAAGCAACACGTCCATGATCAATCACCTGGGAAGGAAGAAAATGAAACTGAATATCTGGGTGAAGAACATCTGGCTGACTTCTAACAAACCCACCAGACTCTAAGTGGGCAGTAGCTCCATCCCCTAGAGATCAAGAAAGAAAGAAAGATTCTAAAATATTCAAAAGGGAAGAAAATGTGGTTTTAAAAAAAAATCCTAGTGTCAACACCATTTTACCATGCCCAATATACCTTTCCACTTGTGCAATGCACATAATTAATCAAAAACAGCGAAACTGAAAGAGATACAAACTCACATGCAATTAATTTAACATGTGCAATGCACATTGTTTTCATCATGTATAATTTTTCAAGGTAAAAAAGCCCAAGATGTCTCTAGCTTCCTAAATATTCTCCATTTACTTTGGCTAAAATGGGATGTTAAGGTTTAATTACTATAAGGGGCAGTGCACTGTTAAAATGATTCTGAAGCAGCTTAGGAGGGAAACTGTCACTGAGAGTGCCTGATGGACGAGGGTGGGAATAAGCTATGGCAGCTTCATACCCACTGCAGTGCATACTCTCAGACGTACCAGGTCCTTAGAAGGGACAGAGCAAGATCTACCCACTCCTTTTGCCTTTACACACACCTGCATACTCCTACCCCTTTCACACTGCTGCATAACATGCCTTTAAATCTCTCTGCCACCACACTAGATAAGTTGCAATCCATTCTTCTGCAAATAATTACTTGCAGTGATGTGAAAAATATGTGTGCAATAGCATAGCACAGTGTATTGGGCCAAATGCTTTGCTGTGACATCATGCTAAGATGGTAAAAGTGTATGGAGGTAGTTGAGAAAACTCTTTAAAATTCATTCTTGAATATATAACTTAGGGACAGGGGTACTATAACACAGGAGAATGCATTATATCTAGACAATGCAAGTACAAGTAAGTTTGAATGCTTCTGGAAAATGCAGTGAGATAATTATCTTTTATGGAGTTACACCAAGGATGAATTTGGTTTGGTATATTTGTTTTACAAGTAGCTTTTCTCAGTGGCCAACAGATTTAAGTATGAAACATAACTCAGTATGATAGGCACAAATGCACACATTTAGTAGCATGCAAACATTTCCTGCCTGAACTTAAGGGCAGGGAAAGACATGCTGCAAAAATGCATCTCAACCTCGTTTGTTATAATAAACATTGCATTTATTAAAATAAATTGTAATTTGGAAAAAATCTAATTAAAGCCAAGAAAACTGGACAGTTTGTCCCATTTGAACCCCCTTTTAAAAAAATCTCTAATTTTGCAGAATTGATAAAAAGCTTCATCAGAAAGACACTGTGGGATTCTGATATATATATGTCAGTTAAAAGCTAATTTGGTAATCTAGTGGGAGAGTTTCCCTTTTTTTCATACCTGTAAACTTCCAAAGCCATTCTAAGCCAATCTTTGCCATGTTAATGGGATTTTGTGCTTTGTAGAGAGTAACAGGTTTGGTGCACTTCTGTTGTATGTACACTTCTAAATGATCTTGAAGATTCTGGCCTACCCCTGATACAAAAGAACACAGGAAATTAAATATAGGCAACCTGTAAATGTTATATTCAAGCAGGTACATTTTTCTGTATAAACTACCCTGAATGGAAACTGAAACAAGCTTTTACAAAGGCAGTGACATCAAACAACATGGATCCTGGGCCTAGTTCAGCCCATTTAGGCAACCAGCAGACATTATCAATTTGGTCATTACTGTACCCTACCTACACACACTCACATCATATATAATGTTGTTTATTTTAAGATGAGACATACTGTGGAGCTGTGAAGTAGTGCCATTAACATAGAAATGGGAATAAACAGTGACACCATTAACACATTAAAATGATCACTTTGAAATATGTGCATTTCTTTCTGTTAGTTTAACGGCTATGTATTATTTCAGGACATAAAATGTAATTTCTTTATGACCTCGGCGCATCACAAGAACAATCTAAAGGGTTCAACAAAAATCTAAAAATGTGTAGTTATCACTGAAATTTAGTAACTGGGGTAACATTTCTAATCAACAACATCTTGTTCATCATTATGATCTTTGTTGAGAGTGTGTGGGTTACCACAGTCCTCTTTGCCTGAGTACATACAGGCTACATCTACACTGGCATGATTTTCCGGAAATGCTTTTAACAGAAAAGTTTTCTGTTAAAAGCATTTTCGGAAAAGCGTGTCTAGATTAGCAGGACGCTTTTCCGGAAAAGCACTTTTTCCGGAAAAGCGTCCATGCCAATCTAGACGCGCTTTTCCGCAAAAAAGCCCTGATTGTCATTTTCGTGATCGGGGCTTTTTTGCAGAAAACACTACTGTGCTGTCTACACTGGCCCTTTTCTGGAACAGTTTTCCGGAAAAAGACTTTTGCCCGAACAGGAGCAGCATAGTTTTTCCGGAAAAGCACTGGTGATTTTACATTAGATCGTCAGTGCTTTTCCGGAAATTCAAGCGGCCAGTGTAGACAGCTGGCAAGTTTTTCCGGAAAAGTGGCTGATTTTCCAGAATAACTTGCCAGTTTAGACACAGCCACACAGTTCTGTGCAGGGAAGATTGTTCTAACTATAGACACAGTTGATTCTGCTGTGATCCCTACAGATACAGGTTCAAATAAGGTCTTCTAGAAACTCAGATGTTACTGGCCTTCGAAGAATCCAGGAAGTATTTCATCATCTACATTTTTATATCCATGTTGCAATGGTGATCCGGTATCTAGTTACCTATCTAGAAAGATATAAGAATCTTTCTTTGACAAGTTGCTCTTTTGACATGATCTTCAAAACTATCCTTACATGGTGGGAGCTTGGTCAGTGAATTGTCCTTTTTGATGGCTAGATTAAATTACAAAAAATGCTAATCCTTAAATGGTTCCATTTCTCTCTCACTCTGGTCATACACCAGCGCTACCAACTTCCTTGCTGCAGAAATTTCAGCTTATCTATCACTCTCTCCTAATTTGGCAAAATCTGAGGGCATATCTATACTACAGCAAATGATCAAAGCTGCTGCTGTCGATCTTCCAGGTTTCAAATTAGTAGGTCTAGTTAAGACAGCCAATTCAAACTGAGAAGGTTGACGCCGGTAGCCCTGCTTCCAGGACAAGTAAGGGAAGTTGAAGTGAGAACTATCTCCCTTCGACTTCCTGCAGTATAGACAGCACCAAAAGTCGAGTTAAGGTACTTTGACTTCAGCTATACAATTCATGTACAGAAGGCCCCCAACTTGCGATGCAATTCATTCCAGAGGAAACTTTGCAAGTTGGGGGCATCGTAACTCGAACCCATATTTATGTTAGGCGCTGTGCACCATGGTAAATGCGGGCCAAGTACATAAGTCAGGGGTTTCTGGCCCCTTCCGCATTTACAAAAATGGTTGTAAATGCGGGGGGTCGGAACTCAGGCAGTCGCGTCTAGGGAGCCTTCTGTAGTTGAAGTTGCATATCTTAATTCAACCTTGTCCCATAGGCTGTGTCTACACTGCACCCCTTTTCCGGAAAAGGGATGCAGATGAGACAAGTCGGAATTGCAAATGAAGCGGGGATTTAAATATCCCCCGCTTCATTTGTATAAACATGGCTGCTGCTTTTTTCTGGTTCGGGGCTTTGCCGGAAAAAAGCGCCAGTCTAGACTGGGATCTTTCGGAAAATAAAGCCTTTTCCGAAAGGTCCCTTATTCCTGATTTTAAGAAGAATAAGGGACCTTTAGGAAAAGGCTTTATTTTCCGAAAGATCCCAGTCTAGACTGGCGCTTTTTTCCGGCAAAGCCCCGAACCAGAAAAAAGCAGCAGCCATGTTTATACAAATGAAGCGGGGGATATTTAAATCCCCGCTTCATTTGCAATTCTGACTTGTCTCATCTGCATCCCTTTTCCGGAAAAGGGGTGCAGTGTAGACACAGCCACAGTGTACATATACCCTGAAGCAGTAAGATCTTTTTTTGACATGAAACACATTTTTTCCTCGCTATCAAACAAGAATGACACTAAGTTACATCCTATTAATATGTATACAGCAGGAAATATGTTGCAGAAGTCAGGAGTGAGTCCACCATAAATTATGCACACATAGGTATGATGCACCATTTGTCACTTGTGTTGGTAATGTTGCCTGTTTCAATCTGTTTGTTATCAGTGTTCCACTTTTGGAAAGTAGTGAACAGCAAGTACCAAATTCTTTACATCAGTTAACCTATTCCTATAGTTTCTTTGAAACCAAGAGACCAAAAAGCTTTACTGGAACATACAATTTCCTGTTGAGTACTATACAAGTCTTAGGCAGTGTTCCCACTAAGCTGTGCTTCACAGGTGATTAAGAAACTAAGGGCTCAGTGCACGAAGCTGACTGACTGGTTGGGGCAGATTAATCACCTGTGCTGCAAACTTAGAGGAACATTGGTCTTGGGCTTCTTCAACATCTTTACTTCTTCCATTGATGATGGACTTTGCTACTTCAGCCTCAGCAAGGAGTATTTGTGTTGGGAGTGCTCCTACACATGCAGGTATAGTTTTAACCATATATACACAAAGGAATTTTACAAATGAATGCTTGTTGGATGCCATGTTTAGAAACTACTTCCACAGAAATACAGGACATCCACCAATCACCTGGTGTTTCCTGCATCCAACTTTAAATCCTGTCTGATGGTGTCTTTCTGCAGTTTTCACAAAATTACTGTTCTCATTATTTGTCAAAGACTTTGATTACAGAATTAGCTTTGTAAAATCCTTTTAGGATATGCCTCAAGTACTCAGAAGCCAATTCACTGAAAGTGTGAAATTCATTTCAGCCATCATTTGTATGAAAACTTCAGGGGGTAGCCGAGTTAGTCTGTACAGAAAAAAAAAAAAACAACAAATGGGCTCATAGCACTTACATAAGAACATAAGAACGGCCATACTGGGTCAGACCAAAGGTCCATCTAGCCCAGTATCCTGTCTACCGACAGTGGCCAGCACCAGGTGCCCCAAAGAGGGTGGACCGAAGACAATGATCAAGCGATTTGTCTCCTGCCATCCCTCTCCAGCCTCTGACAAACAGAGGCCAAGGACACCATTTTATCCCCTGGCTAATAGCCTTTTATGGACCTAACCTCCATGAATTTATCCAGCTTCTCTTTAAACTCTATTATAGTCCTAGCCTTCACAGCCTCCTCTGACAAGGAGTTCCACAGGTTGACAACACGCTGTGTGAAGAAGAACTTCCTTTTATTAGTTTTAAACCTGCTACCCATTAATTTCATATGGTGTCCTCTAGTTCTTCTATTACGGGAACTAATAAATAACTTTTCTTTATCAGCCCTCTCCACACCACTCATGATTTTATAGACCTCTATCATATCCCCCCTCAGTCTCTTTTCTAAACTGAAAAGTCCCGGTCTCTTTAGCCTCTCCTCATATGGGACCCGTTCCAAACCCCTAATCATTTTAGTTGCCCTTTTCTGAACCCTTTCCAAGGCCAAAATATCTTTTTTGAGGTGAGACCACATCTGTACACAGTATTCAAGATGTGGGCGTACCATAGTTTTATACAGGGGCAGTAAGATATTCTGGGTCTTATTTTCTATCCCTTTCCTAATAATTCCTAGCATCCTATTTGCCTTTTTGACCGCCGCTGCACACCGTGTGGAAGTTTTCAGAGAACTGTCCACGATAACTCCAAGATCTCTTTCCTGATTTGTCGTAGCCAAATTAGCCCCCATCATACTGTACGTATAGTTGGGGTTATTTTTCCCGATGTGCATTACTTTACACTTATCCACATTAAATTTCATTTGCCATTTTGTTGCCCAATCACTCAGTTTGGTGAGATCTTCTTGGAGTCCCTCACAGTCTGCTTCTGTCTTGACTATCCTAAACAGTTTGGTATCATCTGCAAACTTTACTACCTCACTGCTTACCCCTTTCTCCAGATCATTTATGAATAAGTTGAAAAGGATTGGTCCCAGGACTGACCCTTGGGGTACACCACTAGTTACCCCTCTCCAATCTGAAAATTTACCATTTATTCCTACCCTTTGTTTCCTGTCTTTTAACCAGTTCTCAATCCAAGAAAGGACCTTCCCTCTTATCCCATGGCCATGTAATTTACACAAGAGCCTTTGGTGAGGGACCTTGTCAAAGGCTTTCTGAAAATCCAAGTATACTATATCTACTGGATCCCCCTTGTCCGCATGTTTGTTAACCCCTTCAAAGAACTCTAATAGATTAGTAAGACAGGATTTCCCTTTACAGAAACCATGTTGACTTTTGTCCAACAAATTATGTTCTTCTACATGCTTCACAATTTTATTCTTTACTATTGTTTCGACTAATTTGCCCGGTACTGAAGTTAGACTTACCGGTCTGTAATTGCCAGGATCGCCTCTAGAGCCCCTTTTAAATATTGGTGTCACGTTGGCTACCTTCCAGTCATTAGGTACAGAAGCTGATTTAAAGGATAGGTTACAAACCACAGATAATAGCTCAGCAATTTCCCATTTAAGTTCTTTTAGAACCCTTGGATGAATGCCATC